AAAATTTCGAATCTGTGCATAGCTGTTCCTGGAAAAGGTCGAAGATTCGGACCGGTGGTAGAATAACCGATTCCCCATTCGTTTCTAGAACTGGCACATTCCAAGGAGTCAGATCCGCCGTCAGCTTGCTTCCACACAACCTTTCAAAGAGGAAGCCGTAGACAGACGTGTCAACCATATCTGGTTGCTCTTGGCATCAACAACCATTGGAACACATTCGAGCGCCTTCGCCATTCGGAGAGAGCGAATTCGGTTGGGGTTAATTTTATTATTGCAATTTCGAGGGGGCAGAACAAATGTTAGGATCGCCAGCAGGCTGATGATAACAATGAGAATTATTTCTGGGAAAGTAGCCAGATGTGTAGTTGGGAAAAGACGCTGCGAATAGCAGTTTATCAAATATTTGCTTGATATTAGATGATAAGTGATCTCTTAGTTCAAAGCGAAGTAACTGATACTATTTTAGGATTAAATGTTCGACAGTAGGAAGAAAATTGGACATATTAAGGAACCTACAAAACGAGGCATATATATATGTGAATGCATAAGTATATATTTAAGTGCACTCGGACAGGGGTGTTTCGGCCCACAGTAAATTTAAGAATTCTCAGATAAGTGCTGAAAGTTAAATTTTTTCTTTTCGAAAAGTTAAAATTCATTTTACAATTCATGCTTAAAGCAAACTCACCAAAGTTCCAAGGAATACATACAGATACATGCCAGATGAGACAGCAAAAACGAAAACATTAGCACCTTCGCTATAATCATCCAGCAGTGCGCCGATAGTAAATCCAATATAACTGAGCGCACCTGGTATCAGATTCAACAGCAATGTTTTTCGGAATCCTAATCCGGATTGTATCAGGATAGCAAGAGTACCTGGAAATCCTTCTTATTGTGGCTTGATAAACTTAAATGACTGTGCCATGGCCGATAGACAATCCAGGAAGCCAAACAAAAGTCAGAATCGCCAGAAAGCTGAAAACTACGCTGCGGGGTACTGGCCGAAGCAGAGGAGAAATTTTTAGCTGCAAATTTAGGGATGCTGGCAATTACAGCTGATTAAAATATTAAGGCGTGACAAAGAAAGTAAAATTTGATGGACAGAACAGAAGCTGCGTTTACTGGTCACCAGTTGATATATCGTTTCAGTAAATATTTTTCATACAACAGAAAATGACCACTCGTAAACCTTCCGTAGAAGTTTCGCAAGCACGAGAAATAGAAAATCCTGGGTGAAAAGCACAGGTAAAGAGTAAAAGAGGACGTGAGGTGCGAGGCTGAAAATTCGCTGGGATATTCTACTTCAAAGTTCAGGCTTAATTCTGCTTGAAAGTGAAATTCCCTGCAAGTAGTTACGAGAAATACTCAGCTTTACTGAAAAATAATCAGAAACGAGTGCGCTTTGCAGCGAATGACCGTCCTCTCTATGGAATCAGGTGAATGAGAGACGCGCAAAACAGAGAGGAATAGAGAAGTTACCACAAGTTTCAATGTCAAAGAGAAATGTGGCGATGAAACGACAGCTGATGGAGGTACTAACGCAACAATGAGGACGGAAGACATGGAAAATCCAAGCTTAATGCTAATTTCAGCAATAAAAAAAGTGCTAAGGACTAACCTAATTCTTGTGGGAACTGCTGCGCGATACAGGCAATCCCTATACTCAGACCCTCACCCAACGATTTAGCAAAAGCCACTCCATTGCTCATTCCATCCACGAAGTTATTAGCCGATGAACCAATTATGATCATATATGCAATACTGGAAATTTCTAAAGCTTCCGGACGAACTTCCATCTGTTCGATCACTGCTACCGATACACTCACTGTATCCTCTTCGGACAGCTGAAAAAAACAGGCATCAGTTTTTATATAATTGCCAAATTCACAGAAGTTTTTTGTCTCGTTTATGTCGGTGACGTTGTGTCAGTGAGTGTTATTGTTAAGCAGAAAAATTATCTTGGTGAGGAGAATTCCTTCAAACAATTCATCAGTTTGCGCTTCTTCGTTATGCATCCATCTCTCCTCTCTGCTGTGCTGTTTTTGAAGGCGTTGCGATTTGACTTGGCAACAGTAGTTGATGAAGAATTACATGCGATAATGCAGCGAATCGTCAGTGCTTAATAATGTGATAATGCAGCGAATCGTCAGATGAAGCTCTTTGCCCTTGTCTTGAAGACTGTTTATAACTTCAAGACAAGGGCAAAGAGCTTCATCTGACGGCTCGCTGCATTATCGCATTATTAAGGGCTCCACCCTAATATCTCTGGCCACTTTGTTTATAGTCATTAATCAGCGAAAAGGAAAAAACATGGCTAATTTGCCTTTTTATTTCGTTTTGTAGGTTTCGGAGAACTCGAATAAATTGTTGCAATTGGCTGTGGTACTTGCAACGTATTGCTGTCTTCCACCTCCGCATCTACATCATCCACATGTATGATCACCGGAACTCGCTTCCGTGTTGAGAACTGAAACAGAGTTTTAGCAAGTAAATGACAACGTGCTAAATGTTGTAGAAATTTTAAAAAATACAAGCAGTGAATATTTTTGGCAAGGGGATTAGGGAGTTAACGGGAACCTGAAATCTGAGATTCAAGTCGAGAATCGAAGGAATAGCTAAGTATCATGCAAACAAGCGAAAAAGCTGTGGCCTTGTGTTTTATGGATAGTAACGCTTTTCCCCGGGTAAATCAAGAATATGCAAAAGGCAAAAAAATGCGGAAAAGTGGTCGCATTGCTCCATGATCATGTATAGCATAAGTTAAAAGTCAAAACCCCTCCTGTATTCGCCCTCAGGTAGTACACTTGGAAATAGCTCGAGTGGTAGCTAATGTCAACAGCAACCACATTCTGGTATACAGAAAATTCACTACAAAACAGTGCATACCGTTCTGGTAATCGCTGAATTTACTGCAGCACTTTCTATTTCTGCCTGAAAATTCAAAATTAGTGAAATGGTCTCGATAAAACAAACCTCATACTACGTATGCGGTACTTTTTCCAAAAATTATCCGAAAATGAAGCCAATTTTTACTCTTTTCGACAGGCTACTTATATGTTAGCATAGGGCTGGTTCTTTTTTTACGCGTTAAGATAGTTATTTTACTGATTTGACTCGCAAAATGAACAAATTGATTTATTTCTCCTGGGTTTATAAACTGGGGTCGCATTCATGTTTGAAGTAACAATTCAAGGCACTTGAAAAGTTCAACTCCTTTCTTCCCGCAGTTAATTGTCTACGAATTTTGTGATATAAAACCGGAAAATGAGCGTTGAACCACATCTAACCCAAAATAATAAACATGGCTAAAGTCATGAACGAAAAAATAAATCAGAAAACTGTAATAATACGTCTATGATGCCTTAAAATTTCGATTTTTTTGGTTTGCTTCTTTCCAAAATGAATAAACCCAGGCTGGAACGCACCGGCCGGGCCTGTGCGATCATGCGGTTTTGCACCGGACACGAAGTAATCAGGTCATTTACTGTATGAATGACTGTTGCTTTACACCTGCCTTTTGCTGTCACTAGCATAAATCATCATAAATTTTGCAAAATAAATGTGCAATCCCCATTTAACAGTCGTTTGAAGTAGCCCCGTTGTTCAGTGAGAAATTTTTCCGCCAAGTCTTTCAAGTGTCCGTTCGTAAGAACCACGCATACTCCAAAGCTGAATTTGAAATAATTTTTACTTGGACAGGGAACATCCCCCTAAAATTTCAGCTTCTTGATTTTTCTGGTTCTCGAGTTAGCAATTTTTTTCCAAAACTTTCACATGCTCATACTTGGGTACTCCACGTGCTTGGAAAGCTGAATTTGAAATTTACAAATTGCAGGTGGATAGGGAACATCTCCTTAAAATTTCAGCCTTCCACCTCTTCTGGTTACCGGATCAGTAATTTCCCTGCAGAAGCTTTCATACGCCTTTACATGAGTACCACGCATAGATTAGGGCTGAGTTTGAAATATTTGATTTGTACTTGGATAAGGAAATATTTGATATAAATGTTTGAAAGATTTGATTCCTCCAAAATTTCAGCTTTCTATCTTTCCTCGTACTCGAGTTAGCAATTTTCCCTCTAGAAATTTCATATGCCCTTACATGAGTACAACGCATACTTGGGGACTGATCTGAAATCTTTAGCTAGTTCATGCGTAGGGAATATCACTACAAAGTTCCAGCCCCTTAGCTCGTATGGTTCCCGAGATCGCTTTCCCGCCAAAAAATTTGCATATTTTTTAAAGCGTCTGTACGCCCCACCTAGACGCCCGCAGAAGATGAAGTTAAAGCGGGGGGTCGCGCATTGTATGGGCACATA